AAAAATCACAAATCAAAGAGGAGAGAGACTGCAGGATCTCGGCACAAGTGAGTGAAACAGAAAAAAGGTCAAATTCAGAAGAGCTGACGAGCTTCGCTACCACGCCATCGGGAAAACTCCCTAAATAAGCCAGAGTGTTAAGCCTTCTAATCCCCTGTATTATTGTAACATCTGTGAGGTCTAGAGAGGCTCTGTCGGTGATTACCAAGACAGATGTAAACAATATCCTGGCTGAAAAGGAGAGGAGAGGAGAGGAGAGGAAAGGAAAGGAGAGGAGAGGAGAGGAGAGGAAAAGGCTTGGTAGATATGGATAAGAAACTGCTAGCAGGATAAGAAAAGCAGACAGAGAGAATGTGGAGAATATAAAGCGGGTTAGGTAGGAGTGAGTGTGTCAGGGGATTTAAGGGGGAAAAAAAGAAGAAAAAGGAAGTGGAAAATTGACAAAAGCAGAAGCAGAAGGGGTAGTGACTGTGATTTTGGAAGAACTTGGACACAATTCTCAAGATGATATAGAAGAAGATTGAGGACTGATAAAATACAGTAGATGGTGGAGATGGGTAGACAGAAGGTGACAGCATGAGGGGGGGCAAGAGCAGCAGATTGGAAGATGGCAGACCTGGGGCCAGGCGTGCCCCGAGCGGCTGACGAGGCACCAGGGAGACGTGTCTAATTTATGCAGAGTTAGGCTGAGGGGCTGAAGAGTGGAGGGTGTCTGGAACCCCTTCAATAGCCCTGAGAACTGAGGAGAGCAGCTATGGGTGCTAGCCGTGTGAGAGCAAATGGGGCATGGGGGAAAGAGGGGGATGGGGGAGTCTCTTTTTTTGGAAAGACAACAAGGGGGTTGCAGGCTGTTGTCCCTGCTCAATTCAGGCGAGGCTGTCCGTCTGACGTCCCATTAAGGTTTGGGACAGGGCATGGGGAACGAGGCGAAGAAAGGGTGATGGAAGGGGAGCGGGAGGATAGAAGGAGGAGAAGTGAACAACATGCTCTTTCCCCCCACTCCAGCCTACTTCTCCAGTCTGGCTACCTATTGGATCCACAGGGCCGTCTGTCTGCTTCTCTGCATACTAATTCCCCATTACCACAGCCTTGAACATGAGCAAAGAACAGAGTCGGACTAAATCAGAGACAAGTAGCCCGGCTGATGGGTTGGCTGTATGAGAGGGTTTAAGGGTGCTTTAGCACTTGGGCACACAGGTCCAGTGGGCAGACTGTGGTTTATTGTAGTGTGCTTAACTTGGCAAAACATTTAAAAGGGTTTTTTTTCATATGCACATTTTTATTCATTTTTAAGTAACAAAATTTTCTTAGTTTTTATTTTCATTTGTTGAAATTGGAAGTGGTAACCTGGCCTTATGAACCTATTTAACATTACAGAAAAAAAATGCTACCCTGGTTAAAGAGACAAGAAGAAACAGATTTTTTTTTACCTCTATATGTCTATGAAATAATTGACCTAAAAACACGTTGAAAAGAAAAATCCCTTTTCATTTAATTTTCTTTTATTATGAGGGGGTCACAAATGGACACCGCTTCATTTTAGGGCTTCACAAGCTGGACAGGTTGGGAGTATGACCACAACTAATATTTTCAAAGAGTTTTTCCTGCAAAAAATAAATAAATAAATAAAATATATATATATATATAAAAATCTATGAAGCATCACTTTTTCAATTTTTTGGCTTGAAATTTGAATAAAAAAATTAAACTTTAAAATGAAACTTGTGCAGCATGAACATAAAAATATCTGTATTTGCTAATGTAATCTTTCATATCAATGTGAAGAGGCAGACTGTATGCTTTGTGTATGTGAATCCTGGCTACAGGCCAAGTGAATCTGACTGTGTGTGTGTGTTGTTCTAAGACCTAGCATGAAGCAGAATGGACAGCCAGCCTGGGTGATGGTTGAGTCTAGTGATGCAGGCAGACAGTTTAATGACAGTCCTCACCCCTGAACATACAAACCAGTGAGCGCCTGGCATGCTTGCAGATGTACACACGCCGTATGACAAATGCACATATGTGTGATATATGGTGTGGCGTTTTCTGAAAAAGACACCAGGGCTGGCGAAAATGAAAAAGAAAGAAATCCGTTGGTGTATGACCCTGGAAAAAATAACTAGAAGGTGTAAAATTAGCTTCCAGGCAATTCCTTTGAGTGCCACTGAATCCTGTTAAAATATATATAAGGGTTTTGAGCTTGTCCTCAAGCTAAGGGGACAACAAATGCTACATTAAAACTCCCATCAGAAATAAGAAGTTAAAATTAAGTATGGCCCTGCTTGCTTGTCATGTTCACAGAGGAGCAGTGTGAAAGTAGAGACCTATTCACTAGCTCAACAGAAGCTCAGCTCTTTGTGGGTTTTTTGTGTGCTAAGTTGTGCCCGGCCATGGCCTTGCATCTTATTCAGCAGGACTTGCTCAGGTCTGGACTTGAATTTGGTGCCCAAACAAAGACATAGAGCCACCTCATTAAAAAAACATGTCATTGGATCAGGCCTAGGCTGAATTGTGTGATTTCTCCTCCTACCATAAGTGACCGTGACTGAGCGTTGGGCTGAATGAGAAGCCGGATAGAAGCCTACCAATGGAGCGCCACGCCACATCCCTATGGGAACCACCCTCTCACAGAGGGGGGCACATTTAAAGCTTTGTTGGTCTGTTAACACAGCTTTTTAAGATGCCTCTTTATGGACTCGGCTAAGCAAACTGCAGCCCCTGGTTTTCTAGTGACAGAAGGAGAAAGTTAAAAAAAAAAACCCTAGAAAGGAGACAGTAAAGGGCAAGAAAACAAGAGGGGAAGAACACACTTATTTTAAGAGTGTTTGAGTGAGAAATGGTTTAATGGTTTTTAATTTGGTGACATAAAATGAACACAAAAACGAAAAAGCTGAAGTCAAAACACAAAATGACATTTTAATATTTCAAATCCAACTCCTCACCTCAATGAAACAAATATCAGCCTACGCAGAAAAACTGTACATCTGCTCTCGTTGCGCCTATTCACCAGAGATCTGAACTTTGCTGCAGCTCAACGCGGTGCTACTAAGTCACAGACAAACTGCACCATCTCACTGCATCCTCCGATCCAGTCAGCACACACCTTTACCCGGAGGACTACAGCCATCCTGATGCTGAAACAATAGGTTTGTGTGGATGTTTGTGTGTGTGCACACTTGTGTGACAAACACAGTCCTGCCAGGACAACCTAGGCTGGAGACTTGGACAGTCTCGCAGGGCACCCTGGATGACAGTGAAATGAATAACAATGAACTTGCCGAGTGTCAAGTTCAGCGCATTAGAGATGAACCGGAGTCAAGGAGCACAGCCGTACACAGTCGCTTGGCGTGCATAATTGTGTCAGCATGCTCAGGAAATATCTCAATATGAGCAGAATACCGAGCTCCAGAGAAGAGCACCTAATAAGATGAAAATGCACACATGCACACTTCTCTATCTCTCTCTTATTCCCCTCCCCTTCCACACGCAGCAAGGACCCCGTCCTCGCTATTCTATTGCTGTCTGCTGTGCGCCTGATGAAAAAGCAAAACGGCATAGGGGGTGCACATGCCTTAAGGCACGAAAACGCACATTTGTAAATCACAACCCCAATATAAACATAGGGTTTAATAGGGGTTTCTCACGCACGTTGGCAGGGGTCCACCTCGCAATATGCTTCACCAACCGTGCTGCGCGTTTTTCAGCCTGCTACAGGAGAAGATAAGACTGAACAGCCTCCACCACATCCACCCAGCAGAGATGATGGTCTAGAGGGCTGAGAATGCATCTGAATACATTTACATAAAGATTGTGGTATGTTGACTGAGGCACTGCTGAGAATGCGCCTTTGCTCGTCATTGTCCCCAAAAATCAGCGTAATGATTGAAATGTGGTACAAAGGGTGGGGGGTTGCTTCAAACGGGAAACGGTCACTTATTCTGAG